CAGGGCTTGTGCTTGCTAGGCAAGCGCTCTACCACTGAGCTAAATCCCCAACTCCACATATTTCTTTCAAATGACCTAATTATTGTGAGATTTACAACTTTATTATCTAATTTTCCCTAATTGCCAAACTGCTAACCCCCCACATATTCAGCTGGTCTAGGTTAAACAAGGGCTTAACTGTATCATGAGGGCTTAACTGTACCAGATTTTATTTCCAAGTGGATCCACAGTCAGTGAGAGGCTTTTCATGAAGTTCAAAAGAAAAGGAGACTAAAGGCAGGCACAGAATACAGAATTATTTACAGATAATGAAGACAGTAACACAAGTAACCTTTACTCTAGGTTTGAGGCCTGCTACAATCAGTCAAATCCTGGAGAACAGGCCAGCCTTTCTCCTCAACAACTTGCCAGGGTAGCTGATACATGTACTGGAATCCAACAAGAATACCTAAAAGGCACCTGGCTACCAGGACAGTTGGTCCTGGCTCTCAAGAGAGTCTTTTATCCTGTTAGACATTGGGTAATGATCTGGAAACAGGAAGACTGACAAACTGCTTCTGAAAGCACAGAGTTCAAGAAAGGGAAGGGTGAGAGTGAAGGGAAGCTGGCCAATAGACCACTGTGGCAGTCCTGTAAAGGATAAGGGACTGAGGCACTTGCTCTTCATTTTTCTGCTTAGTCAGGAAAAGAAATCCACTATAAACACACCCCTCTTCAGAAAACTTAATACTCAGAGTTAGCCAAGAATTCCTATGTAAGACTGTGCTCGCTAGTTTGAAATGCTAGGAATCAAAGGAAGGCTTTGCACGTACCAGGCAAACATTCTACCACACAGCCACATTTCCAGGACTGTTTTAAAAGCGGTATCACCTCGGCCATGCCTATGTGCTACACCCTGCCACTGAGCTGATGATGTGACAGAACAAGAAGTTGCACCTAGCTGGGCAGTGGTGGTGCACACCTTTAGTCCCAGCACTCAGGAGGCAGAGAGGCAGGTGGACCTCTGTGTGTTCGAGGCCAGCCTGGTGTACACAGTGAGTTCCAAGACAGCCAAAGCTACACAAAGAAACCCTGTCTTGAAAAAGCAAACAACTCCCCCCCCAAAAAAAAAAAAAAACAAACAGAAGAAGCTGTGCCTTCATGGAAAGCATTTTGGGTGCTGGCATTTTACTCAAATAACATTACACATGGAGGAGGCATTACATCACCACAGCATGCACCAAGGGATGGGCTAGCAAATGGGATGGTGGAAGTGAGAGCCTTGCAGAGGAGAATCAGGATGTGACATTTAACTACAGAGGTGATTGCTCTAGATGTCCACCAAGACATAATGAAAACACAGTACAAATAAAATAGTGAGATTTTATTTGGTCATAAATAAAATTTATCAGGAAAATGGATGGAATATAGTATTAAACAAGGTAACATTGTCACAGAAAGACAAATACTGCAATAATCTCACTCATATGCATATCCTAGCTTCTGGGGTGTGTGTGGTGTGGTGTGTGTGTGTGTGGGGGGGCTGAGACCAGAAAACTAGAAAGGAGCTCATAAGGTAGGGCAAAAAGAGGCTTTAGGAAAAGGAGTGGCAGGTGACCAAACATGATAAATGTGGAAAGAATATTGATAGAAGAAAGGTTCAAGTGGGAGGGAACAGGAACATGGGAAAGGGAAGAGAAAGAAAAAATAAGTATGTATGAAAATGCTGTAAGAGGGTTGGGCATAGTGGTGCACACCTTTAGTCCTAAAATTTGGGAGACAGAAGCAGGCAGATCTCTATGTTTACCACCAGCCTGGTCTAATAGTGAATTCCTGACCAGCCAAGGGCTATCTATGTAGTGAGAGCCTGTCTGAAAAAGAAAAGAAAATGCTAAGGAAACCTATTACTTTGTGTGCTAATTTAAAAATTCAGAGGCAAAAGACAAGGTGCCTATTAACAGGAAAAAAATGTTCAAATGGAGAACAATAAAGGGATATGTCTGGTTGTGAAATTTGAGGAGGCTCATGACTATGGAGCAACCATGGCCTGAGTCTATTTTTTAGTGCCTATTACATGCTAGACATCACACTAAGTACTTTAAAAGCATGTTCTAAAAATCACTCCCAGAAACCTATGAAGTATGATACTCAACCATTTTCAAAATGAAAGAAGCTTCAAAGAAATGTGCTCAAAATCATATAGCAAGTTGTGGAACTTGAATTTGATTCAAGACAGCATGAATCCTAAGCTCATCTTTTTAACTCAACCTTAAAGCCAAAGTTAGAGATCCACAGTATCCAGATCACGTGGAGATTCACATGCCAAGGCAACAGATTAGATTTTATTTTAAATGCAGTGGAAAGCAACAGACTGACATGGAGCTTGCTTACTTTTTTAGAGGTGAAAAGCAGGGGTGGTCATGTCTGCATAAAAGGAAGGATTATACATGACTACACAGACCTGGTGGCGACCTGTAAGCAGACAGATTCAAGACAGGCTTTCGTGTTAGACTGAATTAGACTGGCTGCTGCTGGTGACTTAGATGCTAAGGCGTGAAAGAAAAAAGCGAAGTCCAAGACAACTAACTCCCTGATTTTTGACTTCAGTAACCAGTGGGTCATGCGAGATGATACAGAAGTGTTCTGTAGGAATAGACTGTGAAAGAGGGCTAGATTCACTGAATTCTTAAATCTGCTATGTGAGGATACAATTGTGGACAAAAAATAAACAATACTCCCTCAGAGTCTACACCTGAGGGGATCAGACAATCTGTAAGTTATTAACTGGTGATACAACAATAAAGCACATTAAGTAGGAATGAGGTCATTAGTTGAAGGGTCCAAAAGAATCTTCAATGTATAAGCAGAGGTCTGAAGGAAACAGGAGGCAGCCACGAAGATTACTACAAAAGTTCTTGGCAGTCTGTGTGTAACTGCAAAGGCTCTGAGGTGGAAGTGTGCTTGGACTGTCAAAGAAGCCAAGAAGGTATAGCTTAACAGGTAAGGGAGAAAATAATGAGAGATTAGTTTAAGGCAATTATATGCAGGACTTTGGCTCAAGATTGCAGCTTTCACTTTGAGTAAAACAAAACCAACAGAAAATCTGAACAGAAGAATGGAGTGGCATTACTCCTGTTACATGTAAGTCACACTACCAAGAAGGGTTCAGGAAGAAACAATCCTCCAGTGGATTAGACTGTATAATGATGAAAGGCTCAGACTGAGGACAGACTTTGAACACTAGAAATTTGTTGATGGATTAGATATGGTGCCTTACTGAGAATTGGAAGGATTTTTTTTTCTTTTTTGACCTGAATAAAGGAAGGATGGTATTGCAATTTACTGTACTGAGATGTGAACAAAATTTATGTAAAATTAGGAATTCAGATTGTCATGTTAAAATAAACATAACTAAGCTGAGCGGTCGTGGCGCATGCCTTTAATCCCAGCATTCGGGAGGCAGAGGCAGGAGGATCTCTGTGAGTTCAAGGCCAGCCCGGTCTACAGAGCAAGATCCAGGACAGGCACCAAAGCTACACAGAGAAACCCTGTCTCGAGAAAAAAAAAAAATAGAAGTAATTATTACAAACTTAAATACAGGTGAGGAAGGGGTAAAAAATCAAATACAGATGTTGAGCAGCACGCTCTGTTCTGGAATTTAGAGATCTGGGTTGGAGATCTAAGACTGGCCATCCAGCATCTAGATGGTATTAAAATTACAAGAATAAATCTAGGAAAGTGTAGATGCTAAATACTTGATAAGGTTCAACAACTAGACATTCCCATGTTTCCTTGTAACATAACTGGTTTAATTTTTAGAGCTATCACTTAGGACAGCAGTCCACAGTCTAAAATCATCAAGCTCATCCATAAAACAGCAGTGAACTAAAAAGATTTTGTTACACCAATTATCTTCAGAAGAAAAAGAAAGGAGTCCCAGCCATGATCACAGGAATACTGGGAACTCAAAACATCCCCCAATCTACATGGTATATAGTTTAGCAGCTAAATGCATAGGTATATGGATCCAGGATGTTTGGGTTTTGGTTCTGTGTGACCCCAGGGCAAGGCTCTTACTACGTGTACAAGTTTCCTCAGTAGTCAGTTGGGGATAACTTGTGTGGTTGCTGTAAAGGAATAAATTCTTCAACTTTAATGTTAAAAAAAAATACCTGTCTTATTCAGACATAGGGGCACATGTCTTTAATCTCAGCACTTGGGAGGCAGAGTCAGGCAGATCGCTGCGAGCAAGGCTGGTCTATATTAGTAAGTTCCAGAACAGCCAAAGCTACATAGTGAGACACTCTCCAAAACAAACAAACCAAACAAAAATTCTGTTTTACTATTATCGAAACTCATTGTTGAAACAAAAGTTAGGAGATAAAGACTCTAAGTATTCATTTTTCAATTTTCTTAATTCAGAAGAAAGACAAAATATTTTACTAGACTCTTAACTAAAGGCCTGCAACTCAAAACACATTCCCAAATCCCCAGTGACATAAAATCATCTTTAAGGTTACAGAAGATGAGGCAACCTCCTAGTCCTCGTTCACACATCAGAGCTAGCTGACAAGGTCCATCTGTGACCCAGACAACCAGGACCCCACTCCCTCCTAACCAATTAAGTTCTCTACCGGTCCCTTCCATAGAAAAGTATAGACATCTGAAGACGGGAAAAGGTTAAACCAAGCTTCTGAATGGCAGTACAGCAAAGAACTAGGATTCCTCTACATAGCAGCAAAGACTTCTCCAGAAAGACACTATTTCCTTTTCCCTAGTACCCAAGAGGGCCGTGGAGAAACTCTCAGGTGGGTGATGCAGAACAGCGAGCTTCGCTCACCTGGCTCCCACCCCCACCCTACCCAGTGGCAACAAAGCGCCGGCGCAGAACAGCCACACTCTCTCCTTCCACAGTCGCCGGACTCCAGGGCCGGGACTGGGGTGTCCAGGCTCCAGCCTCTGGTCGCTGAAGCAAAGGAAACAGAGAGGCAGAAACAATAGGGCTGTGGCGGCCGCCGTACCTCTCCCTGTCGCGGCCGTCGAAATAGACGAAATCACCGCTCTGGACGCACTTGGCGCAAGTCAACCGCCGGCGAGTGGTGTTGCACAGCGGACACCGCTCGACCGCCACGTACAACCCCTCGGCGTCGTCCACCGAGTCCACCAGGTCCCGAGCTAGCGCCCGCGGCCCGAAGCCAGGAGCCTCGGGCGTCCAGGATCCCTTCCCACTGGGAGACGCCATGATGGTCTGAGCGCAGGGCCAGTCACGTGGGATTTTGTTTTCATCCAGGTGCATCCTGGGCGCGGGGGCGGGGCCTAGGGGCCGGGGCGGAGTCTAGAGGCTGGGGCGGGGGTCTGGAGGGCAGGGGCGGGGCCCAGGGGCCCAGGGGCCGGACCGGGAGGCCGACCGTCGGGGACGCGCGATCCCCGGGTCTTCCTCCGTGCCCTCCGAGGCGGCTGCGCAGTTCGGCCCGCTGAGTGGAGCTGTGCAACGCCAGTACGTTAAGCAAAGAATAGTAATGGATGTCCCAAGCATGCTCTGTAAAAGGCGCGGGAACACAAGAAGGGAATTCGTTTCATTCTCTATGATTACTTTAGGTTTTTGGCTAAAACTACAAGGAGCAAAGTTGAGAGTTGGATCTTGGAACTAGCTGAAGTTTGACTCACCTTCCTCCTTAATAGCTGTGGGATTTGAAGAAAATCCCTTAACACCTCTGCCTGACTTTGTCCAGGCTCGTGGATATAATTGCTGTACCTCCACAACCCCGGAGGGTTAATCAAAAGTTTCTCATAGCAGCCGAACCCCTTACATATCAGTGAAAACCAAACTGAAGATGCAAATCAAAGCTGTATGTTTTTAAAAACTGGTTTTAGTAGATAATGTCGTCTATGTAGCCCCCACTTCCCTGGAGTCCCAATCGTGCTGTGGCAGTCGCCTGAGAGAAGGGATTACAGACATGTAACAGCGCAGCCCGGAAACTGTATTCTAATGGGTCTTGTCATTCCCTACCCCCTGGGCCATGCTCTCACAGAATTTGAGCTCATTAGTTAGGATTTACTCCGAGTTTCTTCAGAGAGGGGAGGTTTCTATCAGAGTGTTGGGTGTGCCTCTGAACCAGAGGGGAGCAGAGTAGTGAGGCTGTAGGTCCAGCTGGACCAATGACTTCAAGGATGGCTTCAGTAGGCTGTCCACTGAGGAAAGATCTGAATTCTCTCCAGCTGGGCTTTCTCCAGCAGATCACACATCCCAGCACTCAGAGCTGCCTCCTAAGCACCAGGTAATGTTTTCCTCACACTCCACTTTGGAACTGAAGTCTGCCTAGAGCCTGAATCACATGAGTCCCTTACCTGTCATTCCCATGCTGGTCATCAAATGTTGGTGACAACAACCTAGCTAGATCTTTGGTCTGAACTCTTTGGGCCTTCTCCACGGTCTGTTTAAATACAACTAGGTAGGATTAGGAAGTAGTAAAAAAAAAAAATCAAATCCCCTATATCATTTTCCAAATAGCCTTCCCTAAACTTGAATGGTTCCTGAAAGTTTAAGACTTTAAAATAAACACTTTTATATGGTCATTTCAAGGTTTGGGATATTTCATTGGCTCTCCCAAGGCGACCTTCACAATATATGTCACCAAATGGTTGGCATGCTGTCTCTTCTGTATTTCAAAAGGAAAAATATTATACATGATTTCTACTGAGAGCTGTGATATTACAGATAGTATCCAGATATGCAGTTACTAGGAATTTCTGTATTGCTGTCTTCAGAGAACACTTTTTAATGCATTCCATGTTTAAAAATAAAGCATTGATTTAATGCCTCAATCTTACAAGGCCTGAAATATTTCAAATTCTGAAATAAGTTTGTTTGTTTGTTTTTAAAAAATAGCACGAGTCATTTTGAGCAAGAAATTTCCATTTCTTCATTTTGGTTGTTCACACAGAGCCACAAGTGTGCTTTGGGCTACACAGCAGACCCTGTTTCAAAAACACGGCACAAAAAAAAAAAAAACCCACAATCCTATTAGCATAATAACAGAAAATAACAGACGCTGGTGGCCGATAGAAAACATGAGTGACTACTACTGTAATGTGCGGAAGAAACCCACTCTTTCTGTGCTGTGCACATATCCAAACCACAATGATTCGAGGAGCCCAGTGATATACTCAAGCTTTCTTAAAACCTTTGAGAATGGTGCACAGGTTTTCAAATGCTTCTTAGATCTCAGGACTCCAAGAACAGTGCCAACATTTTCTTAATGCTAAAAGATCGTGTTATGTTCAATTACTGTTGTTTTTTTTTTTTTTTTTTTTTTTTTTTTTTTTTTTTGTTTTGTTTTGTTTTTGGAGATGGTCTAGCTGAGGAGCCCAGGGTGGACACAGACTAGATGCATGTGTGTCTGCTTCCCCAGTGCTGGGATTCTGAGGATGTGCCATCATGCCCAGTGAGTGAGGAGAAATTGGTATCACCTTTCATAAGGGGGTTTGCTCTCCGTCTGACAAAGAGAGAGCACCAGCTCTCCTACCAGCTTTATGGTGAAAGAGCCAATATCAGGCCAGGGTTTCCTCTGCAGGAGATCCAGGAAAGAGGAATCTTTGCAGAGATACTTTCTGAGCAAATCCAGAAATGTCCCATCTAGAAAGTTCTACCCTCTTATATGCAAAGAGAAAAGTTCACGATAATGTCCCTGGGCTTATGACATCTTGTCATGACTGCAGAGGTTTGTTTGGTTTTGTTGTTGTTGTCACTTTTTAATGAAGTTTAAAAACAAATTCTGATAGTCCAGTTAAGTTCCTTGAACTTTATCCTAACACTGGGACTATAAAGTGTGGAATATACCTCAGGATTGTGTGTTAGTCTCTTTGGCAAAGAACAAGATGTTGCTCCTACTAGGAACTTTCACACAAATGTTCTTTTCTTACATAGTGAATTGCCTGTGGGGTAGCATGGAAACTTCATCTTCATACCTTTCTGGCTAAATATGAGGGCTGTTGTCATGGCCTCTCAGATCATCATTACAACTGCAGCACACCTCTGCGCATCAAAGCCAACTGGATTTACTGGGATTTAACACTAGCCTAGTTGAAAGGCTGTGCTGGGTATGAAAATAATTTGGGGGCTGGAGAAATGGTTCAGAGGTTAAGAACACTGGCTGCTCTTCCAGAGGTCCTGAGTTCAATTCTCAGCAACCACATGGTGGCTCACAACCAACTATAATGAGATCTGGTGCCCTCTCCTGGCCTGCAGGCATACATGCAGGCAGAACACTGTATACATATTAAATTAAATAAATCTTGAAAGAAAGAAAGAAAGTAGTCTTTGAAAAAAAAAACTGAAATAGGATGGTAAAAACCAAACTGCATCTGGGTCTAGTCTCCCTACATTAACAAAGATTATAATTCTGAGATGTTATTTTACAGCTATTTTTAAAGTAACAGCTAAAATTAGAGTGTCTATTATGTTTCAGATCCAATGCTAAGAACTTTCTAGGTTTTCTCTCATTTATATTCATAAGACTAACAAGTTCATTGTTGTCTTTATTTAATACCTAAGAAATTAAGTGTTTAGCTTCCAACGTTACCAGAACTTGGTAAAGATAGAATATAAAACCGCTGTTAGTTAAATTTACATTGATATACTTAATTTTTCTCTTACAAAATCCTTTGAAAAATAGGAGTGACTAGAGTTGAAGAGCTGAGGATGTGGCTCTGTTGGTAGAGTGCTTGCCTAGCACACATGAAGCCCTGGGTTCGATTCTCAGGAAGAGACCAGGCTTGGTGGTGCGCACCTGTAATCCCAGAACTCTGGAGGTGGAGACAGGAAAATAGAAAATACAAGGTCATCCTTGGCTACATAGAAAGTTGGAAGCCAGTTTGGAATATGTGAGATCCAATCTCAAAGCAAAAAATAGGACTCTGATATGGCACATGCCTACAGTCCCAGCACTTGGAAGACTGAGGCAGGAGGATTTTTGGTTTTTCGAGACAGGGTTTCTCCATGTAGTTTTGGTGCCTGTCCTGGATTTCACTCTGTTGACCAGGCTGGCCTCGAATTCACAGAGATCCTCCTGGCTCTGCCTCCCCAGTGCTGGGATTAAAGGTGTGCGCCACCACCGCCTGGCATGGAGGAGTCCAAGTTTAAGAACACCTTAAGATACATAGCTAGGTCCTATTTCAATACAAAATCATAAACCCATCACAGAGAAGAACAGTATGTTATTATGCAGGCTATTGTCAAGATTCAGGAATGTATCAAGCCACCTAAAATATAGAAAACAATATACACAACGACAGGCGCTCTGAAGATGAAGGGAAAATTTGTTTCATCAAGTTCCTGCCTTCACAGTCCTTCTCAATGTGTGGTCCCAGGACAGCTCATTGGTAAATGATGCTAAGGCACTTGAGACCAGCCAGCCCGTCACATTGACATGGCATTAAATGACGGGCTCCTCCTACTGAACCTATGCGCCTTCTTCTCCAACTTTCCTTTCCCCATTAAGCTGGTAAAGAAACTGGAGTGGGCCCCATGCAAGACAGTCTCTTGTGGGGATGGACTACTCCAAAAGGTCACTGGTCAATTTAAGCTCCGACAAGCAATTGCAATTTGAACTATCAACACTGAAAGAACCCTGAGTGACTGCAACAGGCTGATAAATTCTCATTAATGCTTTTGAGGTACATACTACAATGTATCACCTTCACCTGGTATTCATTCAACTCTATATGTGTGTGTATGTGTACAGATCACACACACACACACACACACACACACACACACACACACACACACACACACACACACACACACACACACACACACACACACACACACACACACACACACACACATATATATATTCACTACATAATCCAGGCAAACAGTCCCATAATCCTATCCCTGCCTCTTGAATGCTGGGATTACAGGCACTCAATTTTGTTGTTTTTTTTTTTACACCATCAATTTTGTTTCTTTTGGTTGTTTTGGTTTTGTTGTTGTTGTTGTTGGGTTTTTTTTTTTTGAGACACTCTGGGGTTTTTTTGTTTGTTTGTTTGTTTTGTTTTGGCACCCACTATGTCTCCCTGGCTGGCTTACAATTCTCTCTGTAGACCAGGCCCGCCTTGGCTTTGAACTCACAGAAATCCACCTGCCTCTGCTTTCCAAGCTTTAGGGTTAAAGGCATGTACCACCATGCCCATCAATTTTGTTATTTTATTCTTGTCCTGAATTTGTTTAAAAAAATTTTAAGGGCTTGGGTGGTGGTGGCGGCGGCGGCGGCGGCGGCGGCGGCGGCGG